TAATGAAATGTAAGTTAATGAATATTGTTTTTTTTTTTTTTCTTGAGATTTTTATAAGAAATAAAAGGCTACATGGGCTTTTTGCAGTATTCTCTATAACAGATGAATAGTTATGTAACCTAATATAATTTTAATTTTTGAAAGTGCTGTTTTTTTTTAATTCTTCGTTGAATATACTCATTGAGAATATTTTTTAAGAAAAAAAAATCTTATTTATATATTAATATTATGAAATTTGAATCTTTTTATTTTTTTAATCTGTACATACATTTACAGTAGAATGATTTCAAGTTAAGATTATGATTTATATATGAATCTATTCGAAGATTGGTTAGTTAAATAGATAATTTTGAAATAAATTTTATTTATAATGATATTGGGTATTCGTCAATAATTAAATTATAATATCCTTCAATATAGTTTTACTTGTATTGCTAAGTAGATTTTGCATATGAATCTTTTTCAATTTGAGCTTTAGTTTTGTTTATAAGAATATTTGAATATATAAAAACTATTGAAAACAGTAGGAATATTAATTCAAAGAAAATGCTATAAGTATCTCTTCATTATTATGAAAGCATTTCAAAGTTCTTTATTTTGAAGTTAATTAACTTTACCCTATGGATTATATTAAACGTAAAATTCTCCTTTTTATTATTGTAAAATATACAAAACTGGAGATCAGATAATATTTGAAGGTACTGTGCCAGACTTTGAAATTTTATACTTCATAAAATATTGTATTTTGCAGTACAAAGTGTGCATTCCATTTTGATAATTTTTTTCACTTCATTAGATACAATGAACTATATATTAGTGCAAATAATTAAAAACTACTGATTTTAGCTACAGAATTTTTTAAAGAACTACAAATAATATCAGCATATTATGGCTTAAACTAAATTATTCGTTTGGCATGTAAATTCTACATTCAAAATTAGCGTAAATATTGTTAAATTAGTAAGAGGAAAACTAGAATATTTTCTATAGTTATATGCACTTACGGTTCGAACTGATTGATAGTTGACTGAAAACAAAAATATAGATGCATTTGTAATACGCCTTAGTCGATTCATATGAATAGGTAATGTTTATTCCATTAGTCTATTTTTGTTTTTTGTTTGTGAAACAGAATTTATCAAAAAATTCTTTATGCATCATAAATACGGGGGAGTCTCACTAATCGATTAAAAGCTTTTTAGCTCATATTTTATCTATACGTGTGATTCAATGAGAATAGAAAAGCTTTGAAGTAACTTGCTGCCCTAAGTCTCCTTAAGTAAGATACGAAAATATCATATTTATGATACGATACATGCACAAACGGTTTCTTGTCCTTGAATTATAAGATTGGCGTTATTTAAATAGCCAAATTATTTTATTTTGTAGCATCCTATTGATTAGACATATATATACTAGCATTCATCGCTTTAGAACAAGATCGTATGGGATTCAAATAGTTTTGCCAACATAGATCATGGTAGTTTTTTCTTTTTTAATACTCCATCGAAAGACAAAACAATAAGTAAAAATAAAGGATTGTTCCAAAATACCATAGAAAAAGAAAAATGTTCTCAACATTTTAAGGTCTTTAGCTACATAATTCATTTCATCAAATGAATACAAAAACATTATTTATTCTAATATTTCTACCACGCACTTTAGCGATCTTTTATAAGACATGAAACATTTTTATCTATGAGTGTTATATAAAAGCAATTTAGTTTTTCCAAATGGTCAAATTTTGCAATGCAAGCACATCTAGCCATGCACATATGTCGTCTGATCTAAACATGAACTGTTTATACCTCAATTATTTAGACGTATAGGAGTAAATCTTTTTCTTGAGACATCGTATTTTCAGAAAATTATTCGTTTATAACAGTCATGATATAAAAATCGAGTTGACTTGAAAATTCAATATCTCAACAGAAGAACATTCTTTTGGACTGAAACATTCAGGTGTTCTATAGGTTATTAGACCTATCTATTGGCAGAATTTCGAGTCGAAGTTTTGTTTCTCAATACATACCTAAAGTTGAGTCGGAAACACAACAAAAATGATTCCCATTAGACTTCGTTAGTCTCATCACGCTGCACTTGTAGGTTCAAACGGTGAGTATCAGTTTGAGTGTTTCGCTCATGAATTATGCTTACGAGCAAGACGTAACTTTAAAAATTTTATTTGAAAAAGTTTACAGAATTCTCTCATTTATTTTCATAAACAAAAAACATCAAATACAATCCTTCTCATCAGAAACAGACTTTTATTTAATGCATTTTTTATTAGAGCATTATGAATCTTTTAAAATATGTAAAAAGAATATGGTAGTCTATATGTACTCTATGCAAGATCATGCTTACTATTTTTAAATTCTATCGTATAAAAGATTGTTCTGTTAGATATAAGTAGGTTTCAATGAAGTTAAGAAAGCCCTCAAAGCGTTCTCTCAAAAATGAAGATTGATAAACATCAATGCTTTTAGAAAGTTTCTCAATCTCACTTTGATCTACTTGTAAGCCAAAGATGAAGTTAAAAACTCAAGCAATTGAAGTAGTAATTACAGTTACAAAATATCAAATAGAACTTCATCATAATATTTAAATTTCATTCATACAATAAAATCTTTTCGTATAGTTAATAATGTCTACAACATCTTCATTTCCCGATCAAGTCAAAGCCAGTTTAATAAACATATGTCATCTATTTACAATATGTATTCAACGTTATGCTCTTCATTGCAGTACAGATGGTCATTTTGCTCAACTAATTTTCGGTGCAGATTTAGTTCGTGCTCATCGATCTCAAACAAACAACAATTCTCCTACTGGTATTACACAACTTCTTACCAATCATTTTGTTTCATTTGAAGAAAAATTGGGTACAAATGTAAAAACATTAGCATTTTTTATACATAATTTATTTATGGATCATTGCCTTACTGAAATGAATACATGCGAACGACGTTTATATTTATCAAATATCAACGAAAAATTATCTTCGATTAAATTTATTTCAACAAATAAAAATATTGTTAAAAAAGAAGATATTAATATTGAATTATTAGTTAGTCATATTCTTGATACACTACCAAGATTAATATTTGATCGACAAAATATCTATCATAATCTTCTTTCTCGTTTAGTTAAACGTAAGTATTTCCTTTTTTTTTTGTAGAATTCACATATATTTTCGAAGAAAATAGTGCGTGTGAGTTCAAATCGAGATTTTTGTGGCTATTATCCCTCCCTAGACATTAACAACCGGGAGAGGGAAAGCCAACGGTAATTGAAAACATCCGAAGCATTCTATGACGAGCTAGTCTAAATAATATGTGTTTTGATATTTAATGCAGCGAAAAGACCTTAGTGTAGTCGAAATATAATGGGCTGAGAAAAGATGATATTTTAGGAGGTTTCGAAAATTGAAACAAAATCGAAACGTTTTCCAGGTATTGTAAAAGTCTGTGAAATCTTCTTAAAGTTAACTTCAACTGGATATAAAAAATTTAGAACTGCTGTAGTTTGTGAGTTCCACACTTTGGTTTCTCATGAAGTCGTACTGACAAGTTTGTTAGAAAAGAAAAAAAAATGTGTTTGTTTTTCTTCTTCAGATAATCTCGATCGAATTGATGATTATCTTATTTATAATCAACAATTATCTTTTGTTACAGTTGGGTCTTCGATAAAACAATCATGTTTAATTGATGGTATACTTTTACCAGTTTATAATTCTCATAAATTACTTTCATCATTTATATCAAATAATCAAATAAGAATTGTATTTTTAAATATACAATCAACAGAATTTGATAAATCATCATTATTTACAATAATTGATCATAATCAAGAATTTATTTCATATGATACATTAATTTATCGTCAATTTATTAAAAAATATTTAATAAATGTTAATTTAATTATTTCATTATCATGTATTAATGAATTATTTCTTTTTGAATTACATCAAGCTAATATAAATGTTATTGATTCATTAGATGAACAAACATTTGAATTTATTTTAAAAGTTTATCAATGTTTACCATGTAATCGATTATTAATTTCAGATGACGAATCAATTGATAAAATATCAACTATTTTACTTGATCGACATGTTATTGTTAATCAACAAGCATACATCTATTTATCTTCAAATGGTTAGTTAAAATAGAATTTTCTTTATTAGATCATGGATTCAAATCTTGAGAAGGATATAAGAGTTCGAATGAATTTTCTTTTCATTCATATTTTTGTGATCATCGTGCTCAGCTTCGATTCTATTAGCAGCAACGTTTTCACTTTTCATACATCATTTTCATCTTGACCAACTTGTATCATGTTCATATTTCTTTTTTGTGTACTCAAAAAGTGAGTACACTTTAGAATCGGTCAGTGTGTCCGGTCGTCCGGCCGGCCGGCCGTTTACACGATAACTTTTGAAGGGAGAGTCAGATCGCGATGAAATTTTCTACACAGTTCAGTCTTAACATAATCTCGGTCGAGTTCGAAGATGAGAAGGATTGGCCGAGCCCTTCCTGAGTTATTGCAAAAATACTCATTTTTCCCTACACCTTCCCTATGGAAAGATCGATCCTGTCCCGCTTGCATAAACAACTTTTCCTATCAT